TTACCAGTTCGAACTTGTAACAGTTCGATTCTGTCCGCGTTCTGTTCTGGTACGTGTGCGAAAAAAGGACTGTTCTGAATTTAATCAGTTCGATTTTAGGTCTGTTCGAATTTGAAAACGTTCGAATTCGTCGTACCCCCGATGAAAATGTTATATTTGTGTTCAACAGAACAAGAGCTTCAAAATAAGTATAAACATGACTTACATAAAAAATTTGGATTTTTTGCATTTTTTCAGATTTTTAGATTTCTTGCCTAAACTCGAAAACCAAAAGTTTTTATTTGATAAAAATATACTGTTTGTAATCAGCAAAATAAGGGCTTTCAAAAGAGTATAATATTGACCTACTTTAAGAAATTTTGATTTTCGACCAAATTTCAGATTTTCCGATTCTTCGCTGAAACTCGGAAATCGGAAGTTTCTATCAGAGAAAAACCATATATTTGCGTTCAGCTATTCGAGAATTTTCAAATGAGTATAATCATGACCTCCTTTCAAAATTTTCGATTTTTGGCTTTCCCTATGCGCCTTTAAACGGTAAATTCAAGTTTAAAGGAACATGGCCATGTTCATACTCATTCTGAAGCTCTCAACAAGTTAAACTCAAATATGTTAATTTCAACACACAAAATTCAGAAAATAAAACGTTATATAGGAAAAATAAGAAAAAGGAAAATTTCCCGGAAACGGCTACTGTATTATGTTTTCTTGAATGAAGCAACCACACAGAAAAGCATAAAAAAGAACAAAAGACGTCAAACATGAGTCATCAGAAGTTTTTGTTTTGTCTTCAGATGATGATGTTGGTGTGAATGAATGAAAAAAAATAGAAAAAGAGAAGAAAAAATAAAATGGACCAAAAATACAATTTGATTGCGAAACGAAACTTTTAGAAACATTTGAAATCAAATTATAAAGATTTAAGGAAAACCGAGAGACCGAAAAACTCGAAAAAAAAACTTTGTTTTAGATGAGCTACACTGCAAAATCGTATTTCACCTTGAAAGCACCTTATGCACCTTTAAAATCGAAAATTTTAGAATTTTTACATAATTTTTTTGAACTCAGCCAGTTGAGAACTTTCAGATGAGTATAAATTGACGGATTTCTAAAAACTTTGAATTTTCACTTTAAAGGCGCATAGTCAAAGACAACAAGGCCAGCTAGCTTGAACACTAAAAGTCTGTAGCATATGAGAATGTGATATCCGTGTTTGACTAGTCAAGAGCATCAAAATGAGTCTAAAGATGACCAATTTATCTAGGCTTTGAATTTTCAGGTTTAAGGCGCATAGGGATTCGAAAATCGGCCAAAGATCTAAACGTCTCAAAGTAGGTCATGTTCATACTCATTTGAAAGCCCAGGACTAGCTGAACACAAATATTATTTTTAAATGCTGAAAACTTTTGATTTTCGAGAATCACCTAAAAATCTGAAAATCTGAAAATCAGAACTTACGAAACAGCGCCTTTAAAGCTGGAGTTTTGCTTTTTTCACTGTAAAATGTTAATATTTGAACTCAACTAGTCAAGAGCTTTGAAATGATTATAAACATGACATATTTATCAAAACTTTGAATTTTCAGTTTAAAGGCGCATTCAGAAATTGGCCGAAAATCGGAATTTTTAAAGTAGGTCATGTTTATACTCATTTCGAAGCTCTTGATTAGTTAAACACAAATATATCATTTTTATCTGCTAAAAACTTTATGTTTTCGAGATTGGGTTGAAAATCTGATAATCTGAAAACATGCATCGAAATTCCAAAAATCGAAATTCCTAAAAGTAGGACATGATTATACTCATTTTGAAGCTCTTGACTAGCTGCACACGAATATAACATTTTCAATAGCAGAAAATCAATATTTCTCGAGTTATATTGGCAATAAGTTTTAAAAATTTAAAACAACAACATACCACATTGGTCTCAAATTTTCCATATCCATTTTGGCACAAAATTCGGGTCACATCATTCTCAAAATTACACATTGGTGGCATTGAACGACGTCGTTGGAGGTCCTGAAAATGACAAAAAATAAAAACTACAAGGTGGGGGAAATCTTGTGATAAAGAAGAAAAAAAACGAGTTATTTTCTCTTCTTCCTTATAAAACTTTTTCTCACAGAAAAGGAAAAAAAAGAGAAGAAGTATAAATCTTCTATCTAAAGTGACCTTAAAGGGACCGGAAGGAAAATAGGCACTTCAGAAAAAGAGAGAAAAATATGCAAATGGAACATCCGGACATTTTAAATCCCCTTTGGAATTTTTATCGCGACTGCCTAGCTCAGGGAAAATGTCCGAAAAGGTTGAAAGTATGTTTTCTATAATCAAAATATCAAGAGCTTTAAAACGAGTATAATTATGGCCTACTTTCAAACGTTTCCATTTTCGGCATATTTTCAGATTTTAAGATTTTCAGCTGTAACTCGAAAACCAAGAGTTTTCAGAAAATGAAAATGATATATTTGTGTTTAACTAATCAAGAGCTTAAAAATGAGTATAATCATGACCTACTTTAAGACATTTCGATTTTTACCAGATTTTCGAATCCCTATGCGCCTTTAAACTGAAAATTCAACTTTTTCAAAAATGGGTCATGTTTATACTCATTTGAAAGCTCCTGACCAGCTGAATTTAAAAATGCTCATAAATTATTAAAATTTCGAGTTTTAAAGGCGCATGAGGTGCTATAACCAATTTTCAGATTTTTAGCTGTAACTCGAAAACCAAAAGCTTTTAGCTGATGAAATTGATACATTTGTACTCAACCAGTTAGAAGCTTTCAAATGAGTATAATCATGACCTACTTTTGAAATTTTCATTTTCGGCAATTTTGGCCTATGCGCCTTTAAACTGAAAATTCAAACTCTAGATAAATAGGTCATGTTTATACTTATTTGAAAGCTCTTGACTAGCTGAGTACAAATATAATATTTTTGTTGGCTAAAACCTTTTCTGAAACCTTATAAATTGAACATTTCTGAAATCTGCAAAAATTTTCTGAAAATTGCCAAAAATCAAAATTTCCGAAAGTAGGTCATGATTATAATCATTTTGAAGCTTTTAACTAGCAAAACTTAAATTTAAAGTTTGAAAGTTGTTCAAATGCGCTCTATTGCTGATTTGAGCTGGTTGAGTCCGAGCTATGAGCTAGCTCCAAGGTGCCTTACCTTTGAAGGCTCATATCCCAAAATCTACAGTAGCTAGGCAACATTTGTAAGCTACAAAGATGTAGAACTCAAAATTTTACACATTTCATTAGTTAATAAAGTCCTCATAGCTTTGTTAGTTTTTGAGTTATGCGCTTTTAAAATTGACACCTATACGGTTTCTCCCAATGTCTCAACTTTAAAAACGCATATCTCAAAAACTAAAATAGCTAGACAAATTTTGCAAACTACAAAAATGTAAAGCTTAAAATTTTACACATTTTACTAGTTGATAATGTTTTTATAGCTTTGCTAGTTTTTGAGTTATGTGCCTTTAAACTTTTACTCCTGTATCCTTCGTTTTCCCTACCCCTAGGGGTCCCTTGAGTGTCCGTAGGATCAAAAGTTCTAGAAAATTTCATTTTCTGAAACCCAATACACTTTCTTACCTGATTCGCTTTACCTCCGTGAGAACCCCTATGATGGAGACGTCCTCGAAATTTGATATCGTCACTTCGTAATGACATCTGAAAAATGAGAAAAAGGAAAAATATGGACAAACCGACACACAGACAGACTCACCAGATCGTGTTCAGATTCGCTTCCAGCAGAACCGTATCCTGATGATGCTGACTCCTTTTTTCTAGTCATATCGGGCTGAAAAAAATATTTTTGAAAAATTCCAAAAAATTACAACTTTCTTACCGAAAAATCCAAATCATCATCTGGTTCCGGCGACACTAGAGGAGGTGTATCCGATAGACTGAACATTGGTTGAAATGAGTATTCGGATGGTGTGCTACAATACATTGAGGTGAAGACTCCTGAAAAAAAAAGCGTGTATGCGTAGGGACCACAACATTTTTTTCAAACAGTTTTTTCTTGAAATCTTTGTATTTTAAAATGATCTCCTCTTCCTAATTAGCATATTTCCAAAATTTCGTTCAAAAATATTCGCTCATTCCCGAGTTACAGCCCATTTTGTGCTTCTCATTTCCGCCCATTTTCTCCGCGAGTGGGCGGGGCGTCGCCGACGCAAGGCTGCGGCGCGGAAAAAGCCTATCGTTTTCTCGAGCCGTTTTCTGCCGAAATTTCGGTTTCGGACGGCTGGAAACTTAGAAAATCGTATCGGAAAGTGTGAAAAAGGGTGTTTCGATTATTTTTAGTGTGATAACAAACCTAATTTTACAAATTTTCACCAGAAATTAGTTCAAAATCGGAAAAAAAATAGAAAAAGTGCGAAATTACTGAGAAAAAAGGCTGAAAAATGAAATTCTAAAGAAGAAATACTCATCAACGCATCGTTCAAGTACTGATGTCATGCAGAAAAATTTTTTTATGTGAAAAAAAAGGTTCACAAAAAGTTTTCCAAAAGGGAAATCGAACCCACACGTCTTTGCTTAGCACACCACTAGCTTAACCAGTACACCAAACGCGCACACCGAGAGTGGGCGCATTGTTTAATTATAACACCGCCACACGCGCGCTCTTTGAAAAAATTAGTTTTCGATGAATTTTCTGGAGATTTCGATACAAATGTTTTTCTGGAGATTTCGATACAAATTTCGCATTTTTTTCGGCCAACTTTTTTGAATATCTCACAAACATCATCCTATGTGAAATTTTCCGTAGAATCCGAATATGTAAAGAAATCGAGCGTTTCAGCTTCCATTCGTGATATAATTGTGAAAAACGAATATTTTCATTGAGTATGTTATTTTGTGACGGAAAATAAAGTACTTTCTGAGAAATTCAATTCTGTTCTAAATTTATTTGTGTGATGTTCGAGAGTAGTATTATCTATAGAAAACATAATTTCTATAGGTTGTCACTAAAATTTTTCACAATATTTACAGCCAGTTTGGCTGAAATCTACTATTTTCGGCTAACAATTCTGAAATTTTCATTATGATTTCCTTTTAGTAAAAGTCTTAAGTTACTGGAAACAACAAAAATTTTGAGCGTTTTAGCCACCCATCTCCTTTACTGTGCGTTTTTCTGCCGCCCACTTGTGTTTATTGCTCTTTCCTTCTTTCGTGTAAGAATTTCAGTAAAAAAACATTTACATATTTGAATTCTACGTAGTCGATTACATAAAGAGTCAAATTTTCATGTCGATCCTTCTTTTCTAGCCATAGTTACAACCAATCAAAAATCCAAAACCCCCCGCGGAGTAAAAAAATAGGCTCCGCCCCTTTTGCTGTGGTCGCTATGTATGCGCCTTTAAATGATCAATTAGCTATGAATAAGACCTATTTCAAAGGGGAATGCGCTTTTGAATCTTTAAATGCTGATTTCTCTGGTTTGAAGTATAGATTTTTGAACGCAACTAGTTGAGAGCTTTCAAATGAGTATAAACATGCCCCATTTATAAAAAATTTGATTTTCGACCCAAAATTTCAGATTTTCAGACTTTTTGATGTAACTCGAAAACCAAAAGTTTCTAGCTAACAAAATACATATATGTGAACTTAGCTCGTCGAGAGCTTTCAAATGAGTATAAACACGACCTATTTATCTAGACATTGAGTTTTCCGTTTAAAGGCGCATAGCCAAATTGGCGAAAAACGTCAATTTTCAAAGTAGGTCATGATTATACTCATTTTGAAGCCCTTGCCTAGGTAAACAAATAAACGTTAATTGTTTTTGCATTGGTCGAAAATAAGCCAAGATATGGGGCGAATACAAGCAATTGAATAATTTTTTCTAGAAGAACTAGTCAAACTCGAAAAACAAAATGTTTTCAGCAGTTATAACTGTTATTATTGTGTTCAGTTAATTATGAGCTTCAAAATGAGTATAAACATGACCTATTTCTAAAAACTTTGAATTTTCGGTTTAAAGGCTCATAGGGTTTCGGAAAACGAGAAAAAATCGGAATGTCTCAAAATAGGTCATGGTTATACTCATTTTGAAGCTCTCAACTGATTAAACAAGAATCTGTTGATCATTTTTGCATTAGGCAAAAATTGATCGAGATATGACGCAAAAACAAGAAACTGAATAATATTTTCTAAAACAATCTAGCCAATATCTCGGAAACCAAATGTATTCAGCAGTTATCATTGTGATGATTATGTTGAGCTAGTCAAGGGCTTTCAAATGAGTATAAACATGACCTATTTATCTGAACTTTGAGATTTCGGTTTAAAGGCGCATGGGGTTTCGAAAATTCGGCAAAAATCGAAATGATTAAAAGTAGGTCATGATTATACTCATTTTGAAGTTTGTATTTTGTTAAATACAATGGTATCATTTTCATCTTCTAAAATTTTTCAATTTCAGAGTTAGGTGAAAAAATCTGAAAATCTGAAAATCGGCAAAAAATTAAAGTGTTTCAAATTTGGTCAATATTATACTCATTCGAAAGCTCATAACCAGCAAAGTTCGAATTCAATGTCTGGAAGTATCAGAAAATGCGCTCTATTCCTAATTTCAGCAGACTCCTAACTTCAAACGAATTCTTTATAGTTTTTGAGCAAAAAAGACAATTCAGTGCGAATAACTTGAGCAAATTATTAAGAGCTTGCTTTTAATCGTAAAAACATACAAAATTGTTTGCGATTTGAATTTTCCCGCCTTTTCTCTTCCATAAAGTTTCAAGAGCAAATAATGCATTTTTGGCACCCAGACTAGACATTTAGCAAGACTTTTTTCCCCAAAATTCATCATTTTTAGACAAATTTAAATTGTGTATGTCCCCAAATGCGCTCCAATGACAATTATCACTAGAGCGCACTTACTCACCAACACAATTCTGCGGCGCCAGCGGCTCCTCAACACCATAGGGATGAAATGTGGTTTGACCTGTTGAAACCCGGGTTATTGAGCCTAAATAAGCAGAAAATCCGGGTAGCGGACATGCTGAATATCTAGAAATACATCCGAGACTACGGTTACGGTGTCTTTTCTCGTCCAAGCTGATTGAAGACTGTGGACGACATCTGGTGGATGACGACGTCTTCATTCTGCAAAAAAATTGGGATTTTTTGGGAGAAAATAGAGCGAAAATGAGCGATAATGAAGGAATTGGCAATAGAGCGAATTTGCAAAATCGAAATTTTTGAAATTTGTTTTTTTTTCCTTCTCTCTCCATCACCCCCTTTCAAGCAACGAAAAGCGCGCGATAGACTACCACAATCGCCACCTATGCTTTCAGTGCGCGCGTGGCCGTGTGGCAACGCTTTTGCCTTCCACCCTCAAGGTCCGGGGTTCGACCCCCGGCCCCTCATATCTCTTTTTGCTTCTTTATTAGTTGAGTTCTATGAATTTTTATACATTTTTAGGGTATTTTTAGGTATTTTGGATTGTACAAAAGGCTAAAAGGACACAAAAATAGCAAAATATAGGGGAAAATCGGAAATTGTTGGAAGTAGAGATAGATAGGCAAGGGAGCGCGCGAATTTTAATTGTATAGTATTTATATAATACATAAAAATGGGGGAACATAGTAGGATAAGAGAGTATAAAAGTTTGAAGAGACGCAGAGAAAAACAAAAAGCAGTTATTACCACATTTTGGGGGTGGACACTGTATATGGTGGCAATTAACAGATCAGAGAGAATTACTGTTATATTATGTGCATAGGTTGTATAAAGTTTTCCTTTTCCTATGGGAAAGTTGCACTTATCTTTAGGAAAACAAATTAGGTCAAAATGTAGGTCTTTTGGCTAGTTTTAGGGGTGCTAAACCTTCAAAATAATAAACTAAGCCCTTCTAACCATTCCTTACTCCTTTAAATAGCTATAAAAACAAAACAAAAGTCTTTTGACTCAATGGGGATTGATCCCCCGGCCTTCAGATTGGTGGGCATAACGTCAACCAACCGACTACGCGCGTTACTAATCTAAGAGGACGCGAGGAGGTAGCCTATCGCGCGGAAAACGGTGGCGGGAGGGGAGCGGCGGGGGAGCTAGAGGGAAATTAGAAAATTTGAAAAATCCCAAATTTGGAAAAAAAGGATCTTGAAATCTAAAATTCCGGATAAACGTCAGATAAAAGTTTCTTCTTCTTCTCTCCAACATCTTCTATTGTGACGTCAAACGAACTTGGGTATCTTCTTCTTTTTGGGGGTATCGTTGGATTTTGGGAGTTACTAGTACATTCCATCATACATTTTTTTTGCTCTCTATCTGTTTTTCCCCTCTCCAACAACTCGAAATGTGATGAGAAAGGGGCGGAGCATCTTTGGGACACAAATGAAAAGAACAAATGATGTCATTTGTTGTATAGTTGTGTTGCCTTGGCTTTTGGGTACTAATTAAAAATGGTGGGGTACGAAAATAGAACTAGAAATAGAACTAGGAAAGTGCGCCCTATTGATAAGGAATGGAATTTCGAAAAAAAAATGGTAATTCAAAATTTTAAGAAATACATTTATTATAGGCCATACTGGCCTAAAAATGCTTAACTTCAACAGCATTTGGCTTAATAATAACAGTAATACAAGACAACTTGTGTATTCTCAAGGGAGCAAGCTTTCGATTTTCAACAATTTGAAATTTTTCATTTCCTCCTTGGCGGCGGTGGCGCCCTCGCCACCACCGTTTTCCGCGCGATAGGCTACCTCCTCCCACCTTCCCCTCTCAAGTGCGCCCGTGGTGTAGAGGTCAACGCTTTTGCCCAATAATCTAGAGGTCGCGGGTTCAACTCCACCCTAGGCTTAAACCTTTTTTTTGTTTTTTAAGGATGAGCAATGCTGTTTCAACTATTTTGAGGGAATTTAAATGGGTTTTTAGAGGAAAACCAAGGTGTCTAGAAGGTCAATTAGGCAAAAACACATTAGAAACGGAAGAAGAAGAGGAACATTTGAAGTGGTTGGGAATGAATTCTTTGAATTTTAAGTGGATTTAAAGGATTTTTGGAAAAAAATTTGCAAATTATATCTTGCAAAATCCCAAGAAATTGGCGGGAATTTGAAAGTTTTGAATTTTTTTCGAATTTTCTGAAAATTCCAAAAAGCCCATCAATTACGCTCCATTGCTAATCTAAAGAGAATAAATTCCACTATACGATTTTTTTAGAGTTCTCCCCAAAAATAAAAAAAAATGGGTGTGCCCAAAAAAAACCAAAAAAAGGAGAGAGAGAGGGAGGACTTGGCACTTTCGATGAAAATTTAATTAGATGTGCCATTTACACACACACAAAGTGACCAGTGTGGACAACGAATGTTTCTTCTTTTTAGATTCGAAAAAAAGCATTGACAGAAAAGGAGAAAATCGAATTTTCGAGAAAAGAACAAAAACCTTTTTTCGAAATTTTGGTTTTTTTCCACTTTTCCTGTAGAAAAATCATCAAAAAGCATCAAAAACCACCTGAAAATTTGTTGAAATAGCTTAAAAAAGAAGCAAAAAGAGTTTGAGCCCAGGTGGAATCGAACCCCGGACCTCTAGATCGGCGGGCAAAACTGCAACCACTACGCCACGCTCCCCTGTAGCGGTTAAGGGTGAGAAGAGGTAGCCAATCGCGCGGAAAACGGTGGTGGCGCGGGCGCCGCCGGCGCCAAGGGGAGGAAATGAAAAACTTCAAAAAATCCAAAAATCCAAACTCGCTCTATTGAGAAAACAAAAGATACATTGACCATGTCCCTTTAATACGCCTCAAGTGGTTCGGGTTTATTTGCATAAAGAGTAGTAGTACTAGTAGTACCATAAACACACAAAGTCTTTTTGATCATTATTAGCCTCTTAAACGAGGTCAATAAAGTGCAAAAAGTGAGGGATATCGGGTTACAGAGACAAAGGAAATTAGAGTGACCAGTTGAAACTTAAATTTCATGGGGGAAATTTTTCATAAATTTGGAAAAAAAATCTAAAATTTAGGAGAAAAATTGAGAATTCTGTTTTCATAAATTCAGGAAACTGACAAATTATAGAAAAAAAATCTTCTAAAAATCATCCGGAGTATCTTTAAAAAGAAGCAAAAAGAGTTCTACCCCAAGTGGAGTCGAACCCCGGGCCTCTAGATTGGTGGGCAAAACTGCAAGCCACTACGCTACGCGCGCTACAGTAGTTTAAAAGTGGAAAGTGGTAGTCACTCGCGCGAAAAACGGTGGTGGCGAGGAGGGGCGCCGCCGCAAATGGAAATTTCGGAAATTCAAAAATTCAAAAGTTGAAAACTCGCTCCATTGAGAAAACGGAAGAAAACCCAAATTTAACCGGCTTCTCTTATATTACTGTGATTTTTTAGCCATATTATGTCGAAATTAGGTCTTTCAGCTTCTATTAAACCTCTTTTTTTTTCAAAAAAAAACTAAAATTTTCAAAAAACTGGACACAGTCCGGGGCGTCTTCTCAAAACAGACATTGATAATATCCCTCCTTTTTCGCCCCAGAAAATTTTTTGGGGTCCCCACAGAGAATTTTAGCCCTCGTCCTCCTCCTCCATTTTTTATGCCCAATGGCAACTTGGTTTCGTCCCAAAAAGAAGTTTTTTGTGTCCCAAAACGAGAGAGTGTTAGGGTAGAGAGACGCAGAGAAGGTGTCTGCGTCTCTCTATAGAGCACATAGTGTTTCGTCGATTGATACGAATGGGTGTACTTTGGCCGAATAGATGGGACAAAAAGGACAAAAAGTTTTTGTTTTTTGGGGGAAAGAATGTTCTGGAATATTAAAGGAACATATGAGATCAAAAAATCAACTAAAAATTTCAAATTGAAGGCTTGGCGGGAATTCAAAAAAAGATTTTCTAGAAATTTCAGATATTAATTTTCAACTCTATTTATCTCAAAAATCAAAAAAGCTAGAAAAAAGTTGTCAACTGACAAAATGTGTGAAATTTTATGAGCTATATTTTTGTAGTTAAAAATGTTTTGCTAGCTTTTCTAGTTCTTGAGATATGAGCCCTTTCCAAATGACAGAGAGACGCAGAG